GGATATACAATTTCCTTAGAGATACCGACCTACTCCGACGCATTTGATACCGCCCTAGTCAACATGCCAGCCGAAAGCCTCCGACGCTAGCGCTGCGTTATCTTTAGTTTATGTAATAATTTCATTGTTATGTAAACTTTTATAAAATAAAAAAAAATAAATAAATATTTATGTAATTATTTTATACGCGAATTACTTAAAAAATTTTGTATCAATAATAGGATTGCAAAATAATCTTACCTTGTAGTAGGCGCCATTGTCGAGCCTTACTTCGACCATCAAATCGTCCATTTTGTTTACTTATAGACTTTCCGCTTTAATACAAAATAATTTTGTAAATTGCGACCCAAAGTAAATTTTATGAATGAAAATCCAAATACGCTTTACGTTTGATGCAAATATAAACAGTCCAAATTAGGCAAATAAATAGGTTTAAACGTAGGATATTCCCTGATTCTGTCCTCCTACAATTCCGGCGCAATACTAATTATTAACGCAACTTCTCCTGGCTTCTGACTTAATTCAATTTACTTCAGTCTTTCGATTTTCTGCTTTATGCGCTTCAAAACCACTTAATCTTATATCCGTATTACGATCCTTATAACCGTATTCTTTTATACTTCTTCCTGTAAATAAGTTGTTTTAGTCTAGTCGTTGCTGCCGCTCCTGCAGAAAAAATTACCACACAAAATAATATTAGAAATCAAAATATTTATAAACTCGGCTTTAAACGGTACATAGTTTTTAAGCAAGTGTCTTTTCCTGCAACTTAATTCATATTTTTAAGCATTCACGTTGAAGGTAAAAACATGCTTTTTTTCTTTTCCCACGGTAGACAGAAATATTTCACGCCTACAAAAGGGGCGGCGCAGTTTGCGTCGCTGTCAACACTAACTACCGCAGTCACAAACGTCACCGTCGCAGTCACCGCTGACAATAGAACAGCGGAGCCCCAGCAATCGTTTTCGCCATTAGAAAAATCGCAAATTATTGCACATTTCCGAATAACAGCCAATACATTTTAATTTCAAAAATAATGTCGCATTGAGTTATCTAAACATTTTACAAAAACCTATACAAATTTTCACTCGAATTTTCTTGAAAATTTTTCACGCCGAGCCTTTGCTTTTATTCTTCCGTTCGTTTCTTATTCCTTCACGCACACTTCCAAGCCGCTGTGCAAATTTTTTCGCCCAAAGAATCTACACACTTTTACTATAAATTCAACGCACCTTTACCGTTTTCAGACGTCAATTAATTAGCTTGTTCTATTCTTACTATTTTTTGTTTTTAATTTACTGAATTTTACTGCAAGTTCACAAATTTTCATTAGATTTTTTCTGTACGTCGAGCGACGACCAACGGCGAATGAACAGACAAAACGAGAACGGCAAAAAAAATGTGCCTTTTTAATCCGCTGTACGTACAAAATCACCACATAACCCTGAAATTTAGGGATATACGGAAAGCAGTAGGCGATTTAATGAATTTTGTTTGTCTGTTTTGTTTGCTATTCGCTAACGTTGTTTAATCTTGTCACATCTGCGATTATGAATACTCACATAAAACTTGGTTTAATAAAATCGTATAATCTCATTAATTTATACTTTCTAAATTCCGAATACGTCAGATAAGCTATTTTTACAATTCTTTAGCATTTTTCTAAATTTTGTCTTATTTTTTCTATTGCATCACTGTATACAAAGTATTCGAATAGAACACAATATTGTGAGAAAGAAACAGCCATCTCTTTCGCACTTAGGATAAATGTCGCTAAACAACTATTTGACAGTTAATAACTTTATTGCGAATGGTTTCTTGTTGTTCACAATAGTGAAATGTACGAAATGTTTAGTAAAAATTATTTGGTATATAGAAATATGAATATAATTGTCTCAATTAAGATTTGCTCTATTATGCTCAAGCCATGACGAAGTTCCACGAATTTATTAATACAAAAATTGTAATATGTCTATATAAGTATATTTTAATCACGTTTTAAAAGTATTGTGTGTATCGAGTACTTCATCTTTAAGTTGTTTGTTTTGGTATTGAATATGTATAGTAATTTACAACTTATATTTCATAGCATATTTTTCCTTGGCGCTTGCTTTGTACATGCTGCTGCGTCTGGATTTATTTCGAGTTAGCCATCAATCAACAATTATAGGACATGGTTTTATTTCATATGAAAGTGCTCCCTGAAAATCGAGTACCGGATTTCCGCTTTGTCATTTTACTATGTTATGAACGTGGAATCGGAACTGAAAATTGTGGTTAAGAACGGCGACCGCTTGGCTAGTGCATAGGAAACATGTGTAAATGAGAATTTTAGTTGAAATACCGAAGCCAATTATACGTATCCCCGAAGAGCAACGAAACGCAGAAATCTAGAGTACATATGTATATAGTATGTTGATATTTTAAGGGTAATGTAAGAATGAGAACCGATTTATCAACTGTATCAATTCTACTTCCAAAGTATTCGGTATATGCACCTAAACCCTATATATGCTTGCATTATATATTTGTTAATAATACACCTTCTACTTGCAACCGTTATTATATACACGCGTTATTTTCTCTAATGACTCACATTTCTTACTTTTGACAGCATAGAAATATATGTATGTACATAGGTATGTATGTTTGTTTTCATGTGCAACTTTATTTTCTTAGCTTTACAATTACTTCTAAGTATGTATGTTTGTGTAGTCACCCAATCAACTAATAACTACTCGGAAATGCAAATTCTGCAAATGAGTTGGAAATTCTATTAACCTGAATAAAAAAATACCGTTAGTCTAAATTAAAAAAAAAAAAAACATAAATAAAAAATGGATGAGTGCCGGACACGTGTCCCACGTACTCGTACGCAGATTGGATATGAATTTGCCACGATTTGTCTGTTGTGGTAGTCTTAATTTAAATTTTTGATTTACCTCTTCGCATTTGTCCCGCATATGTACATACATGTGTATGTTTGCTGTTCGAGTGCGCCCTTGCAAAAATGTGCACCCAAATGCAGTTTAGATGCATACGAGGGTATATAAATTAATGTACATATGTATATGCACATGTAAGGTAAAGTGTTTTAAATTTTTTCGGAATGTAAGTCTGTATATATGAACTGTAATCATTTTACTGGCACAGTATAGTAATATAAAGAAGAGCATGCATTTTTTTTTCTAGAATTAACATACCATCCAAATATATTTGTATGTATGGCAAGCTTATACATAAGTGTGGCTCGTTTAAAAATATTTGCAATTATAGGCATTACTACATACATACATATATACATTCATGTACATATTTACATAATTATTTTTATTATTATTTTTTTAGTTTGAATGTTAAATACACAATATTCAGATGAATTGAGAAGAATGGCAGCATTAGTTGAAAATATTTTGAATTTTTAAAATCGGGTTTAAACCTTTTCTGCTTAAAAAATGTCAATTGGCTTCTTATTTACACCATTTGTAGTATTTGATGTAAATTATTTACTTTTCTTTTAAAAAAGGTGGCATCTCTGATTTAGTTGTTCTTTAATATAGAAATATATATATATGTATATAACTCTCTATTTAATAGGTTAAGTTAGATTATACTGACCGGCTATCACGCCATACATACGCCTACTGGTCCTTAGTAATGCCAGAGGGAATTTCAGTTTAATTTGAGGTTAGAAATTCATCACATAGGACGTCAAGGTTTTTTGCGTACTTTAAAAGCGACTTTTGTCCACGTTTGACACTTCGTCGAGTTCTTTGAACTTCTCCTAAGCTTCACTTGCTTGAGTCGAGTTCTAGATAATTATGGACAAAGGAATAGAAAGTTTCAGCGTCTCTCTCATGTTAACATCTCTGAACTTTCTGCATGCATCGTTATCACTTAAACGGGCCATACACGACATACAAATCCATTTTTGCATGTGCGACAGTCAAGCGGAACATTTCTTTGAATTTATTTCTAATGTAGCACTTTTATCTACTTCTTTGTATTTCGTTAATAAGTTATTCCAATTTTTATTTCTATAAATTTTTTTTTTATATTTATCACTTTTTGTTTGCCAAATTGCCACTTTATTTTTGAAGCTTCAAACAATCGATTTTTTTTTTTATAGATTATTTATAAGTTATAGATGGGAATTCGAAATATTTTCGAAGCTAGATGGGAAATACTGGCCTAGCGTCTAGCAGATATATATACCTGTACATATATATGAGCGCTTGGGCAAAAAGCCAAAAGCGCGTTTTCTCGGTTTTTAATTTTTACGATTATTCTCAATTGACGGGCGGGATAGAAAAAAAAATAAACGTCGTACGGAATTGGGGCATATTTATTATGTTTGGCATAAAATTATCTTCTATTTAAACTAAAAAAAAAAATAAGAAAAGTCAAGTTTGAATTTATTATTATTTTTTTTTTTTTGGTAAAAAAAACTTTTTTCAATTTTTAAAAAAATTGTAAACATTTTTTTTGGAATTTTTTAGTTTATCTAGAAGATAAATTATTAGAAAATATGAATCTCTTTGAATTTTTTGTTTCCGATAGAAATAGCGACTGCATCCTGCCCACCGTCTGGCCATTTTCTTCCCAAAGGCAGAATATCAAAGATTTCGTATCCAAAAAATTTGTGAAAGATGTTCAAATAATGCATAGAAATTTCGCTTGAATCAATTTTTGAAAATTGAAAATCGATTTTTTGAAGCCTCTAAGCAGGCTCCCCCGTTAACACTTGCCATTGTTCGTCAGCGATCTTCACTGTTTCATAAATGAGATTTTGTGTGCACACAGCGCCATACACGACACACATGTATTCACACCGATCGCAACAAACCAAATATTTTCGCGAACATGCATCGGTATGCGCACAAGCCCATACACGAGTAAACCGCAATCGAACACATACCGATCGAACGCATGTAATGCCAATAGGTTGTGACCTGTCAAGAGACCAACGGCCGTCCGGCAGTTCTTTCGAGACCGTGTGAGTGAGAAACAAGTGAGTTTTCTTAACCGCTTCTTGCACATCATCTTGGCGATTCCTTATGGACTTAAGACATTCCATCTCGCCCTGATCCGCCCGTTAGCTCTTTCGAAAATTTCGTTTTTATCAATATTATTTAATTTAGATAATTTTTAATCTAGATAAGATACAATTTAGACCAAATGTACACTGTTTTGTTCGACAACTAAAGGTTATTTATTAAAAAAAAAACTCTCATAGAAACCGTCGTCCCTTTCGCAAGAGACAGAGACGGTCGGTTTTCACAAGCTTTTGTTGAGTCGAAATTTTCAACCACCACAGAATAAAGTGGGTGCGTAAGAAACTCATAACCAACTTGCGGAACTTCTGGCCGTTGACCTGATGAAATACATCTCCTTTCCTTATTGGAAAAGTGTCTGCTTTTGGGCAATGCTTTCTGCAGAAGGTCGGATTATTGATATTACGGACCCGAATTAGAAATTTGGCGGCAGGACAGCAGATAGCAAAACCTTGCAGGCCGTGACCAACACAACACATTCTTCTTTAATAAAGGTATCTCGATATTTTGAGGAAATGATTTCTAATTTTGAGGTGGGTGGTGAGATCTATCAAAGCAGTTCATAACTAAACAAACTTCAACTTATTTTTTTTATATTTATAATGAACTTTAATGAACCAAATATGTGCCATTTTGGTCGACTACTTTTTGCCATTTTTCCGCTAGAGACATTATTCCATCAGTGTAAAACTTTGGTTTCTCTGCGGCAAGTAATTTTCACAGGCTGGAGCAGCGCATAGTGGACGTTTCCTTTCCAATCCCACCAAAAACTCTTTAACCTTTCTAACCTATCGAGGTGTCAATCCTGGCTTTGCGACCATTTTTTGAGCTTCACCAAGCTTGGACCATGATATTTTCGCATATTATTTTCGCATTTAATCCACTTTTCATCTCCTGTTACCATTCGCTTCATAAATGGTTCGATTTCATTTCGATTCAGCAAAGAATGGCAGATGTTAATTCGGGGCATTAAATTTTTCACAGACAATTGATGTGGAATAATTTCATCGACTTTTTCAACAATAGGTCGAAAAGAGCGAGGTACATCTTTCATATAGAAATTTCCAGAAGGGAAACAAGCGAACCATTCACAAATTTTATTGGTGGCTTGCGCGGCATTCTTCCCTTTTTTATACAAAAATTTCAAAATATAGTGAATTTCTTAATTATTTTTACCAATTTTTGCACAGTTGGAACTTATTTCAACTTTTCCCAATTTTTTTCCGTTTAAATGAAGCTTAAAATCGCACCTTTCCAACAGAATATGGTATGACACAATGTGATTGGCTACACAATATTAAGAATGGATGGATTAATGGTCA